AGAGGCTGCCCGCGCCCCCTCCGCCCAGCTCAAAGCCCACGTCGGTGCCGTTGGCGTGGAAGTCGTTGTCGTCGCTCAGCTCGATGAGGCCGCCGGTGCGCATGGCGATGTGCGCCTCGATCTCCTCGCGGGCGCGGTCCACGTTCTCGGGCATGCCCGTCACTTCGAAGACCGGCTCCTTGTCGCGGCTGGGCGTGACGATGTAGGTGTGCGTCTGCTGCTGGATGCGCTTGATCGTGGCTCCTTTGGGCCCCACGACCAGGCCGACCACCCGGTAAGGCACCCGCACTTGGATCGTGGTCTGGCCGGGCAAGTTGGGCGGACTGGGCACCGTGCCGTTCAAGACGGTGTTTTTGTTCCGGGAGGCGCGGATCATGGAGAAGTGCTCCGCCGCCGAGATGATCTCCCGCCGAGCCATCGCCACATCCTCCTTCCTGCCCGTTACCACGAAGAGCGGTTCCTCCCCCCGCACCGGAGTCTTGATGTAGGTGTTGGTTTTTGCCCTCAGCGCCTTGATTTTGCAACCTGGAGAGGAGAGGAGAGGAGAGGAGAGGAGAGGATGGCGGCGGCGGAGGAGGAGGAGGAGGAGGAGGAGGATGGGGTGGGAAAAGGGGTGGGGAGAACAGGACCGGTTACACCTCCATTTCTCGGGGGCAACGCGGGGAGAGGGACGATACAACCTGTCACCCGGCCAAGCTATTGTCCCTCCGATTCCCCCACCTCGAGTGCCACAGAGTACCAATAACGAGAAAATCGGCCCCAGATACGCACGCCCCTCTCTCCGCCTCGCGGCTGCCGCGATCCCCATTGGCCACAAGCGCGGCGCTTCGGCGAAAACCACCAACAAGGCGAGCCCCCCCAAGGCGCCCGGGTCCATCTCTTCCCCAGCAACGCCAAGCGAGCGGAGCCCGCAACCTGCGCGCGGGCAGTCCCGACCGCGCAACGCCCCCCTCTCGCAAAGGGAGCACTTTCACGCTCTTGCTCCGCACATTCGGGGGGGGCAGGTTAACCCCACACACAGCCCCACACCCGCAAAAGCTGGTAAGAGACGCCTCCGAACTCGTACAACAAAGGCGCAAGCGGCGCTTGCCCCAGCTGCCTTGCGGGGACCCCGCTCGGAACGCGGGTGCCGTCTCAGCCCCGCGGCTCACCTCGGCTCCTCGCGGGGAACACCCCTGCGCGTCGAGGGCCGAAGAACAACAATAGCAGCACACGGGCGGGGTGGAGCGTCCCATCTCCCCCGCG